TATATATATATACCCAAACTATGGTATAAATAGGTTTTATGAAGACGTATACAATTTAAAAAGCTTCAAAATTTTAAGCCGCTTATTCAACAAATTAACATGCGTGTTGAAAAATAGCAATAAAAATGCATATAAGATAGTATAACACTCTATTATATAAAATTTAGAGCATATGGTCAAAATCATTTTTGTTATTATAGAAACAACATACTCTGGATAAGAAAAAAAGAATTTGAATATTTTTAATCATTAATTTGAAAATTAAATTATAAATTTTAATTGATAGATTAAAAATCCAGTAGATTTTAGGAAATATAAGTTTCATGATAATTGTTACATAATGTATTACTAAATATTTCACACATAAGGAATTTTAGAGATTTTTAAAGTCATCAAAAAAGAAAAGTGGCAATACTTTCCAATCAGGATTGGCATTAAATATGCTTGAAATGTGTATTATATTTACTCATAATTTTTAATAGTAATAGGCATTTAATTCATGGAAAAATAATTAACATATTTTTTTTAAACTTATGATTTCTATAAATAAAGCTCGCTAGATTGTATATTAGTAATACTTATTTAAATATTCAAACAAGCAATTATCCATGTAAAAATTCCATTTCTATAGGGTTTTTTTTATGAAACTTTCTCAATTTTAGGGAATTTTCCAAAATGCACAAAAACCAGAAGAATTTTTAATAAACCAGTAGACCAGGAGAAACTAGCAAAATCCTGTAGTCTACTGAAAAATCCAGTAGAGTTGACAGCTATGAACGTATAATTTGGTTTTTTATACAAACAAAGTATAATGCATCAATAACACAATAATTTGCGTTAAATATCTCGATAAGCTTACTGTCTTGAAACAAGAGTAAGAAAATTAACACAATGCTTATTTACTTTAATGTGCGTATTCATATTGTCTGAAACATAATGCTTCACAGTAAGTAAGATAATTCATATGTTGATTCCATTTTAGAAAGAAAATCCATTTGAACTAGAATTTAAAAATGAAAAAGACGCGTATTCAATTTTAAAGTATGTAGACAACTTAAACCTTATTAAATATTCTACACTAGAAAAATTAAAAAACTAAAAACTCATGTATAAACACAGAAATTGAAATCTTACATTCCCAAAATAGATTAATTGCAAAATATGAAATGTTTTCTTGAACGAAAATGATTTATTAATGTTACGATGAAGGAATACGTTCAACTAATAATGTATAGAAGATAAAATTTTGAAAAAGGCTGTATTATTTGTAAGTTTTGTCTGTTTTCTTTCGAAAAATTATTTTTAGAAATTAAGTAAAACAAAAAAACTCGCCTTGATTTAAATCATTTATTGCAGGACTGCATGCAAGTGTTTAATTTGTTAACTGTTATCCATAATCATTGCTATTTAAATTTCCCTGTTATTTAAATAACAGCGTCAAATCCATTGATATTTAAATTTAAGTTAGAAAACTTTACTTTAAAAAAATTGTGTTTATATGACACTTTTTTGTACAATATACCGCTTATACTTTGTCTTTATTTCCTACTTAATAGTCAATTTCATTTCTTGTATTATGTACCTCACATTTTTTTTATCCATTCAGTACATCTCTTTTCCATATTCCTTATTTAAACCAACAAAACCCTTAAATTGAATGCGTATATTCCTTTTCCCTTAATTTATTTATTTTATTTTGAGTGTTCTTTATTTTTTTCTTTCATATATCGTACTCGCGGTAAAAAAATTTGTATCAAATTACGGTATAAAGTACCGACACTTAGGGTACACCATCCGTAAAATCCATTTCACAGTTAAGTACCATACCGTAATTTTTACAATAATATTTATTTAATTAGAGTGATTTAGTGGTTTTATGGCAATTATTACAGTAAAAATCACAGTATATTAGATTTTTCGTTCCGTAGCATGATCCTAGGGAAATGAATGATACATAATTTGATCCGGTATTTTCTACAGTGTATATCATTACTGTGAAGTATACACTGCCACATACACGGAAAAAGAATGCTTGTAACTTGCAAATTAATTACCATTCCCAATGAAATAACTAAGAATCAATACACATATTATGCACATCATATGTACAAATTGCTTTAAGAAATTGTCTCTACTACCTTAATCCAATTTTTTTCTTAAAAAACGTTAATTGCTGATATTACTATTATAAGGAATAGTAGATTTATTATTTAAACTGCACAAAAGACAGCTTGTACAGCTCACTTTACAAAACAAATATGTATTATCTTGTCTTCTTCAAATAGATTAAATTTTTTTACCATTTATAATACCCTAACTAAAAATGCCATCGTACACACAGTTTTTGCAAATGTAATCCTTGCAATCTAAAATGGTTCGCCTCACAATAATGTAAAATAAATATATTATGCTAAATAAAAAAACTGAATGTTGCATTAAATTTAGAATACAAAATTACACTGAAGCGCCTTATTTTTCAAACCACTTGTGCAAAATACGACTTGTATTCGACAGATAACATAGCCAAAACAAACGCGAGCATCTCTTATCTTCCGTATCAATATTCCAATATCCTGTATCACACATCTAACTATATTTTACTAACTATTGAATATTGCATTAAATTTAGAATACAAAACTTCAATGCAATGCCTTATGTATCAAAATACTTGTTTGCGACTGATAACACAGCCAAAACAAAAGCTATCATCTCATGTATCACACATCTTACTATACAATACTAGCTATTGAATGCATAAAATTTAGAATAAAAAATTACGCTGAAATGCCTTATGTATCACAAGATACATACCTGACTGATAACACAGTCAAAACAAAAGCTATTATCTCTTATCTTGTGTATCAGTATTACAATCTCCTGTATCGGAAATGTAACTATACAATAATAACTAACTATTGAATGCATTAAATTTAGAAGAAAAAACTACACTGCAACGCCTTATGCATCACACGACTTGTATCCGACAAACACAGTCAAAACAAAAGCTATCCTCTCTTATCTCATGTATCAATCTCCTGTATCACACATCTAACTATACAGCACTAACTATAGAATGCATTAAATTTAGGAGAAAAAAATTACACTGCAACGCTTTATGTATCACACGTCCTGTATCTGACTGATAACACAGCAAAAACAAAAGCTATCATCTCTTATCTTGTGTATCATTCTCCTGTATCACACATCTCTCTAACTATACAAGATAATACAAATTCTCACCTGGAAGTGGAAAACAATCGGGCAATCCAACCGGTCTCAGGTAGACCGCTCCGTTGGCAGCGAAATAGTCATTCAAAGACATCACTGATAATCTCTACTCTCTTAACAAGCAAGACACAAAAGAAAGAGCGTTCATAGATATATCGATCCACCCCACTCTCTTTATGCTCTGTGAACGACACATGCGAGTAAAAAGAGAACTGTTACTGAACGGATCTCGTTCGTGTGACAACCTGCAAGGATACAGGTCGCTTGGCATCTGTGGTTCTCCGATTGGTCGGACACTCGTGATCCGCCTGGCGCCCATTTGGCGAGCATTCTTGGCTAATAAGTGTCCAGAGATTGACTGATCGGCGGCATAAGGAAAATGATATATACAGAGCTGGGTTAGCAGGTGACATACGTTATCAACAAAGAGCAGTTGGACCATGCTGCGATTAGATTTGATGTGTATATATGTTATTTGTAAATGACAGGTGTATATATTTAGGGTTAAGAGCTTTAATTGATTTTTGATGTAACAAAGAAGCACTTTCATTGTAAATAACGTGTGTTATTTATGATATATACAATTTATATCAAATAAAAATTTTAAAATTATTTTTTTACCGAAGTCAAACGCATAAACTCTTATAATAAGATTAATTTTGAGGTATCAAAATTAGCTTATTACTCCAGCATCTTAAATTTCATTTCAATTTCATTTTCAGTTATTATAGATGAGCATTATATATTAAAACTATTATATTAATTTATAATTACCAACAAACGAAATATTTTATTCTATTATTTTGAACGAAAATAATAGAAAAAACTAAAAATAAGAATACTTAGCTACTATTGGTATTTCCTCATTTTAAAATATAATAAGCACTTTAAAATTCTTAAAAACTGCTTTTTTAATCCCATATTGAATCCCCATGTTTTCTTAAAAACAAGTTCTTTTAATCTCATATAAAAATTAAATAAACATATTTTTAGCTGATAATTTGACACATTTATAGGCATATCAGCACATTTAAAAGTTATTCAAATTTTTATTTAATTAATATTTAAAAAAAATCAATATTTATAGAATTACAAATTTAATTCGTCATAATATTTCTATTTTGAAATATTGTTTCCTTTATACTATTTCTAGCAAAGGATATTCTAGATTTCCTTTTCAAAGATAATATTTGAATGTTTTAAAAATGTCAGTATTTGATAATTATAAATAATGATTTATCACAAATACTATTTTACATTTATATAGTTTATTTCCTATTTTAAATATTTAAAATTTTATTTTATTAAACCACGTAAAAAAATATATTAATTTTTTGTCATTTTAATATTTTAACTTCATAAATAGTTTGTTGTAAAAATAATTTTATCCCTGAATCTTTTAACACTGAGTTTTAATTTATTTATTTTTTTGGTATATATTAATGCTTAAAATTTATTTAAATGTAATCTTATCAAATTTACATTTACTTCTTCAAGGATTAAATAATTTATTATTGTAAATGAAAATTTTTATTTAAAGCATCGTAAGAAACAAATAACATAAATTTTCAGACGAAGAGGTTAGAGTTAACGTTACAAAAGTAACTAACATAGTTAAAGTTTATCATTTCTATATTTATCTGAAAAATCATGTAAATAAATATTTTTTTAGGATTATATCTGCTGAATTCATCAAAATGATAATTTTAAATCATTTAAATTTTAAATGAAGAATATTTTAGAAAAATTATCAAGAATTTGTCATTTGCTATAGCAAGCTCTACCATGTTTTGAGTTATACATTTATAATATAAAAAGATAAATGCGTCATATTTTTAAAATATTAACTCTAAATGCTATTTTTTTTAGAATATTACGGAAAACATATCTGCACCATTGGTAAATAGAAATTAATTAACATTTATTCAGGAGGTAAAGCTACTGTAACATTTATGTCATCTGTTATCAGATCTTTTATTCTTCATGTAGAATTTACGCATAAAGTTTTCATCATAAAATGTTTATCGTAAAATTATGTATAAATATAAAATTAATATTACGTTAAAATATAAATATACATTATAATAAATTAATTTTTGTCCTAAAATCAAGGTCAACTGACTACCCTAAGAAAGACCCAAAAGTTGTTTTCTCTCAAGCGATGTCTTATAAAGGAAAAGCTACTTTTACAGAATTTCTTAACACTTTTTCCTCCTGTTATATTTAGTGCGCCTTTTATAATTCTTCATGCATAGATGCATACCATCCAAACAGTTTAAAAATGGACAAAAAGAATAATTGAACTTTTGTTTAATCATCAAGGTCAACCGACTACTCTAAGAAAGACCCAAAAGTTGCTTTCTCTCAAGCGATGTATCATAAAGGAAAAGCTACTTTTACAGAATTTCTTAACACTTTTTTCCTCCTGTTATAGTTAGTGCGCCGTATCTAATTCTTCTTGCATAGATGCATACCATTCAAACAGTTTATAAACTGACAAAAAGAATAATTGAACTTCTATGTACTCATCAAGGTCAACTGACTACCCTAAAAAAAAACCGAAAGTTATTTCCTCTCAAGCGATGTGTTCTAAAGGAAAAGCTACTTTTACAGAATTTCTAAACACTTTTTCCTCTTGTTATATTTAGTGAAGAATAACCAGTGTTGTTTGAAGATTGCTTTACCTAGATTTATTTAAACTTTATAAAAAAGCGTAACATAAAATTCAAATACAAATCTCAGTTTTCTCTTTCTTTCTCTATTTGAGTTATAGAGATGAGTTTTTACACTTTCTGCAGTATCATAATATACTCTTCCTTTGCACAGCATTTTTTTTTTCAAATGTTTTTTAAGTATTTAATTCAATTAAATACGAAAAATTTAATAAGAATCTAACAAAAATCCAATGCCTTAATGCGTGATACTTTCTAAAATAATTAAACCAAAAGTTGTTTTCTTTCAACCAACTTATTATAACAGAAAAGCTACTTTCACTGAATTTCATAACACATTTTCTTCCTACTTTATTCAGCACGTGCTACCTAATTCTTCTAACATTTACAAAGTTGCCAACTTTCCACGCTTTCTGGAAAATTTTCTTCTAGTGGTTGCTAAGTTTATGTTTTAATGTATGATTCGTTGTTTTTAAAGTTATTTTCCACACCACTACATGCAAATTATTCAAAAGTTCATAAGGAATGCCACATTGTTTCAGCTCTCTCGTGGTGAGGTTTTTAAAATATTTGCAAAAATTACTGAAAGTTCTAAGAAGCTTTAATTTTTATTTGTCTATTACTCTATAAAATATTTTAACTCTTTTATGGGTCCTTTATTTCTAGCAAAGTTAATTTGAAGTATTTTTGGAATTGAAATTGTTTTAAGAACAGTAATTGATAATAATAAGAAAAAAAACTCATTTAGTTTATAAAAATGCCATTTTTTTGGTGGTAAATATATTTAACATGACCTATTAGGAGTTTACTTACTTTTATTTTTCTTTATTTATAAAATAAATTCCTTAAATGCTACAAACTTCAAAAGGAATTATGTACTTTATAACTTTTATACATTTTTTAAAAGTGACAAATGGTTACTAATTTTATTCAAACTCACTTCAAGAAAGCTGAAGTTATTGAAAAATGGAAACCTAAATTGGTAAACGTGGTAAAACGTGGTAGCAAATATACTTACCACGGCTTTCAAAAGTATTAAAATACGTAGTAGTTGGCAGACCTGACTCCCTGCTCACAAATTAGTTTTTAAAGCAATTAAAAGAACATTTTCTCACTAAATGAGGCATAACTTAAGTGCTTTTTGGAGATTTTTTAACAAGATTTCTTCAAACTTTATTAAAAGCGTTTCGTGTTTCGGTCATAGTTTCGTTACTTACGATGATATTTCTTACAGTATCGTGCAAAAAAAACATATTTCAAACCATTTAATAAGCTACAGGCTATATTTTTTTAAATATTTAAAAGATTAACTTATATTTGTATTTTATAAATGTCTAACATCTATTGAAATTAACTCTTTCGTTAAGTCAAATGTAAAAGTTCTATACAAAATACAGTAACAATCCATCATCTTAATGCGTGAGATGTAACGTACAGTTATCGTTGAGTAGTAGCAGTTATCGTTCATATAGTTAAATTAATAAGCCAGACCTTCTCCGTTTCTTAACCAGAGATTTTTTTCCAGTTTTTTAAAGTTGCAGCAATATTTTTGTTACAGCATTTAGTTTAAAATTATTTTGACTTCAATGACATTATATCTAATTTTTTTTCTGTGATTGGTGAGTTTTGACTTTTTCTGTCTTAATTTTTATTTTACATTTAAATATTTCGCAATTAAATAATTTTAATGTCACAATACAAATATTGATAACTGTTAGTAGTACTTGTTTTTTAAGAATTGTAGCCCTGACCGAGTAATTTTGCCGTTACACAAACGCTCTGTAGCATAGAGCATTCAAAACATTTCGGAACCCTAGATAAATCTTTGTAACGTCCTTCTCTAATTTATCTTGTTTTTCAACTTGTAAATGACTAATAAGCTACTTTTTTAATGAGCACACAAGCTTACGAATGAGTGTGTAACAATAAAACTAAAAAAAAAAATTGTTCCGATCTATGTTATGATCTTGCTTACACCGATCACAGTGCTGACGTAAAATATCCTCAGACGGATCATGGGTAAGAGCGTCAAGCTAGCCGTAAAAGGTTTTTGTGATTTTTGAAGATGCATTTCTCCAAATACAAGATCCAGGAGTTCCCTTGTCTTCTAGATTGTGTTCAAAATTACAAGGCTACTGAGATGAACATGAGTGGTTCGCAACTCAGAATCGGGAATGCAGAATAACACCCGTGACAAGCTTCCCACGGCAACTAAAACTGTTAAAAAAAATCATAATCAATCATAACTACTACTATGATTTCCATTTTAAATTTTTCTTATTTAAAAAAGAAACATGCTAAACTCTTTCAATAGTAAGATGAACAAATTGCGCCATTAAATGTTAGCGAATTTAATTTTTTTTTTAATGAGAATTAATTATTCAGCAATTTTTGCATTTGCAATCACCTAAGGCACCTCTTTATATACTATTTTATTTTTTGAAATCTAAAACAGTTTTATATAAACGTTATAATTATTAAAAAATATTGGTAGTCACGGATGATTTAGTTGAAGGGAATGACTGTCTTACTAGTTATGACTCTACCGTCTAGATAGATATTTACTTTCAACCCGAATATCCTTCGGAAACTATATTGAGGTATTCAGCTATAGA